TGAGATTTGGATTAGAAAAAGAACACTGGTTATTGGACTTGCTACAGTTAAGAATCAACTTGGGAGATAAAGAGGTTTATAACTGTTAATCAAGAGAAGGCAACCAGATACAGTGAAATAGTTTATACTTATTGTGATGAGAATGGGAAGTTGCTTTCTCAGTTTTTTTCTTTTTTCTATTTTTTCTTTTCTTTCTTTTCCTTTCCTTTTTTTTTTTGCTTTTCTACTTTTTACTTTTTCTTTTCTTTTTTGACTTTCTCTTATCTTTTAATGTTGTAGTTTAAACTTTTCATAAAAAATTACTGAAAAAAACCAAACCTGAAATCTTGGAAATCATAGGAGTGTTTTTCTAAAGTACTGTGATTAAAACACTTCTAAAGCATATATGAAGGCTAGGAAAGTTTGCTGTCTTAAAATTTGACTTTTTAAAATTTGATATACTTCTCATATAGGAAACATTTTATTTACTGCAGTATTTATCATTTCTATTTTCATTGTTTTCACACAACTGTAAAAATCAAAATATTCTTAGGTGTAATAGCATACCGCAGTTTCATCTATAAAATGAAGTATTCCTATAAGCCTTGTTTGAGAAAATGCCCATTACTTGCATACTTTTAAACTGCATAAATGTACTTAAATAATACATCATAAGAGTTATTTTTACTGCAACAGACTACTGCAATAACCTATCTAAAAATTATAAAATTGCAGTCAAAGAAGAAGCATAAGTATTAAGCTAAAAAAATAATAATACTACCTGACTAAGAACTATTTTTCAGAAGCAAATATGCTGGCTGGAAATTTGTATATATTCCATTCAATGACTTTAACTACTGTAGAGATTTGAGAATTAAAACTGATCATGTGTCAAATCTTCATTTATAATTCAAACAAATTTGTCTTCTGTAGCTGAAATATCTTTGCCCTCTAATAGTTCTAATAGAGTCAATGGCACTTCAGAAGCTCCTTAAGCACTGAAAAGTTTCAGTTCACTTCATGCAGGATGAAGGCTTCTAGCTTTGAATTTTAAACTCTTTACTCTGCTTTCAACAAATTAATTTATTTGAATTCCTGATTAATAATAAAAGGCCATGCCATCAGCATTCAGAACTCCAGCCGGGAATGTCATGGCTCAAAGGACAGAAATCTGCTCAGCGTTACAAGAGAACCCAACTGAATTTGTGGCGTCTCAGTCTATGAATGTGTAAGCACTTCATCTGTTCGTTATGAAACAATGTATTGGGAGACTATGTATGTTGCAGACCAAGAGCAGAACAAGCAGCCAGTATGATGATAAGGAGGAAACCAACAAGTCAGACAGATTTTATTTTTGTCTGACCATAAATACAAATGTGTCACAGAAGTGTGCTCTTCTAGCATCTCTTGGGTTTTAAAAATGGGATTTTGCTAACTCCATTTCAAGTATTTAAGTTAACACTGCTACAGAATTATTAGTGCAGGTGACTGTTGCAAAGCAAAAGATAATTGAATGGCATCCTATTAGTGTTTCTTTAAATGAATTTATTTCCCTGTGTTTAGTTCAGCTTCTATGCACATAGAACACAAGAAGAATACTAACTTGAATAAACAGCATTGTTAAACTTTTCCTTCTTAGCAACATGGCATGACAAGAACAAAAATGGCTACATACAAACAAACTGAAATAAAAAATCACAGAACCTCTTAGATAAGTTACACAGTGGTTGAAAGCCAGGGCATATCAAAGTGGCAATATTTTAGCTAACCACAATATTATTTAGCTAACCACAGTGCTAAAACAGAATGAAAGAATTCCAAAGAAAAAAAGAAATCTTACAGGAAAAAAAAAATACTATAGTTCATCCAGAGGAGCCACAGAATTGCTCTTATATAAGCTTTAGATTCTTACTTCATTGTTGATTATGTAGTTCCGGTGATTACTAAATTCCTACTAAAGTTAAGAACACCAGCTGTGTATCAGCTCAAGGGCATGACTTTTCCTTCCTCACCAACATGAATTAGAACTTCTCACTGCAGAATAGTGTCCTCAACCCTCACAAACAGTTTAAAAGGTAATCATGGTTGATAATATAGACGCTGTGATAATCAACAAGACCAGACAAGGTCCAGGTGCCTCCACAAGTAAGCCACGATAACAACCCATACAGTTTTCAGTCTAGATCTGAATCCCATGTGTAAGAGATTTAGACAACTTCTTTAAACAGAGCTCTCCGTAACTGCTCCATAACACCACCTCTTCTGCCTTCCTAGAAAGGAAGGCCTAGAGACATGGTAGTAATTATTTAAGATGGCCAGGTCAAATGATCAAGTCTAGCGCTACCCCGCCTCCAGGATATGTTCACTACTTTGTACACTCACCTTCTCATTCCTACTCTGAACATGCAAGCTGGAGTGGCCAAAGCCTTATCTATAAGTAGTATAGCTCATCGCTCATGACTGAGATTAATATTAAGTGGAAGCTGAGCTACTATAACGTATGTTATTGCTAATTAATGAAAATGGTTCATGAGAAAATTCAGTGGTATAAAAAAATGGAGATCAAAATGTATCTTTCTCTTTCCTTCCAGAGGTCATCTATTAATGTGACAATAGCATATCCTATCTCATTTTCAACCCTCATTGAAGGATTGATACATGGACACCTGTGGCTAAATACATCACCTTAAAAACACTTTGCCACAAAAAAGGCTAATTATGACATGTGCTGGTTGTGCTAGTTGGAGTAATCTGGATCCAGAGAGTGTTTCTGGAGAAATGAGAAATTGTTATTTCCTTTAAAGAAGGTGGCACCAATTACACACACACCTTTAGGTTATCTTTGACTTACAATCATTCATTTAGTAACCATTCAAAGTACAGCGGCACTAAAAATAGGGACTTATGACCAGTTTTCACACTTACAACCATTGCAGCATCCCTGTGGTGATGCAATCAAAATTCAGACGCTTGGCAACTGGCGCTTATTTATGATGGTTGCTGTGTCAGGTCGCCTTTTGCGACCTTTGGACAAGCAAAATTAATGGGGATGCACAGATGCACTTAACAATCATGTTACTAACTTAATTGCAATGATTCACTCAGCAACTGTGGCAAGAAAGGTCATAAAATGGGGCAAAACTCACTTAACCATTGTTTCACCTAGCAACAGAATTTTTGCTCAATTGTGGTCAAAAGTCGAGGATTCAATCTTTTTCAGTTAGTATGAATAAGCCAAAATGGGAAGGGTCAAGAGACCATGTAACAGGAGAGATAACCGCATGCACCCTATCTCCATTCTCAGACAAAACTAACTGATCCCATAAGTAGATCAGATGATGCAACACATACTTCAGTATATAGTGCAAGAAAAGTACCATTGACATTAATATCAATTTTTTGTCAGCGGGTATTTTAAGAGTTTCAGCATTCAGATTTTCTCAACTAATGATAGTGAGCCTTTAATTTTCCTATAAAAGTGTTGTTAGTTATCTGATGATGCTATGTAGGCTACAATATAATAAAGGCTGCCAGATAGGCATATCTCTCTGCATTAATGTTTACTGAGTTATATGGCAAAACCTATGTTGTATATGATAAATCCCATGCTGGTCTTGTGCTCTAGTCACTGTCCTACTTTACAACACTGTTCTGAGCACCTCAGAATGAAGCCAGGCTCCACATAAATATACCGGGCTACTGAAAAATTGATCTGAAATGCTCTTTTTTATTTTCCAATTCAACAGATTATGGAGGCCTTTTTAACTCTGGATTTCCTCAAAGGATTCAAGAACCTCTCCGATTATTTTATTCCCTGGAGCAGATCATCTTAATGGGTCTCCCACACTGGTAGAAGGGGAATGATGGAGTGCTTTCAAGCCTTACCCTGCTATCTTAGAATAACTCTAGTCCCTCCTTCCCCATCCAAATCTTCTTATATTTTGAAGAAAACACTAAATTGAAGGTATGTTCTGCCCGAAGGCAGATCTGGGACTGTCACAAAATTCTAAACTTAAATTCTTCATACCAGAGAACAGTGTATTGATTCCACCAACTTAGTTTACATAATATGTATTTAAAATGAAATATAGTTAAAATGGCTAACCAGGTAGATATGCAGTGCTGCTAAAACTGGGGGGGAGGGAGGGGGAAATACAGAAGGTTCACATATTCTTCTTCACATGAGTGGCTTCATTCTGGTTAGCATAAACAACCAGTGCAAACAAACTAAAAATACCCACATTCAGGTGGATTATATCTTATATGTCAATCAGAGGAAACACAATGGTACTTGGTTCTTCTGTACTACATATCGAAATATAAACATAGTTAAAAAAAAACTATGGCTGAGATGCCCAGGCTGAGATGGATCTTTTAAGAATGCTTTGAACTTTCTTAAGGCAGTGGGAGCTATAAAGCTCTTCCAAAGAGGAGAGAGGGCAACCAATGATCTTCTGGGCAATGACATTAACCCTCTGGAGTGCTGTTCTATATGCCACTGTGCAATTGGCAAACCATACAGAGTGCAGTAGTTTAAGATACTCTCTATGGTGCAGTGGTAGAAGATCACCAGCAGTTTTTCATTCAGTTGTTGTTTTCTGAGAAGTCTCAGGTAGTATAATCTCTGCTGGGCCCTTTTGACCAGTGCTGCAATGTGAGCACCCCAGGTCAGGTCCTCTTTTACGGTAACACCATAAAAGATTTTCTGAAACTTAAAACTGTCCACTTGCTCCACTCAGTCTCCACTGATAAGCAAGTGTTGGATGTCTGATCTGTTCATTCTATAAGTCCACTATAAGCTCCTTGGTCTTATTGGTGTTGAGGACCAAGTTATTGTCTCCATACCACGAAAGCAACCGGTCCACCTCATAATAATAAGATATATAGATAAAGCAGGACAATTGTATCTATATAGTTGTCTGGCCAAACTGGGACAGAGATACAGCAGCTTCAAGGAAGATTTTAAAAGACATTAATCTCATATATCAGACTTGTTGACTAAACCCACCCTGGCCCAATACCTTGTCATCTTTTGTGTTCACATCAACTTTTTTTGATCGGATGGCTTTGGTTACATGGTCAATGTTATTTTCTCTGCAATAGTCAAATATGTTCTTATCTTCTTCCCTAGGAAGAAATAAAAAAGGGGCATATTTCCTGTTACCAAGCAAGAAATGCAAACTACACAAACATGAGAAGCTAGATTTTTCATCAGTTCAATCATTTTATCATTACTGATTATTTTAAACTTTCAGTGTTTTTGACAAATATTGTAGACATCCTGTATCAGAACATTTAAATAATATACTGCAAACTAACCCTCAAAGAACTGTAAGCTATAAATCAGTTTCATTTAGGAAAAAACCATTATGCATTTCTCATAATAATTCAAATTTTAAAACAAAAAAATCAATTAATGTAGTTATTTGGGAAATCTATTCACCATCTTTCAAATGTGATGCCCACATATCTAATATAAACCTCCTCCTCACCACTCCACTCTTAGCAAATCTAGGTTCTTAGCATGAGGGAAGCAACTACCTTACCTTAGGGACTGCAAGCAAAACAAACAAACAAACAAACAAAAAGATAAATTCTCTGTCCACAGTCCTATTTAGCAAACATTTACTTCACGTTCTCGGCCTGAACACTACTATATCTTTTGCCAAACAGTGGATTATGTATCTCTGAAGGATTTCAAATACTTGGCATCTACTGGAGAAAAACCTTGAGGCATGAGATGAAAAAAGAATAAAGCAATGTAACTGAAACTATATTAACACAGTTGTCCTTACCAACTGTCTACCATGTTTATATTCTGGTTCAACTCTCTGCAAAAAATCCCTCAACTTCATCCAATCATGACATTTTGGGTCCTCTCTTCTCAATGTGTTCACTCCTTCTTTAGTGATCTAATCTTCATTGATTTTTCTCTCACCTCAGTTTACGTCTTTTGTACTAATAAAACATTTTGTATTTAATTCCCATCTGTACATTCTTAATATTACGGTAAGTCTTCTTGTTTTGCTATACATAATTAAGTACCTTATTTCCCACTGCATTCACTTTCACAAAATGGACATCATTCATTTTCCTTCTTTTGTTCAAATGTCTCAATTTCCCCATCTTTAATGAACATCCTATCAGGATACAGATTTTTTTCTATTTCCTCCACTAACTTGGAATAACTTGGTATAATTCATTTCTTGACAAACACTCACTCAGGTAACATGCAATGTATCTAATATGTCAACAAAAGTTAGTTCTCATTTAACAATACAGTATCATTTGCAGAAATATAGAAACTTTCATGTCATAATTAATTTGTAATGTCACTATGATCATTCCATACATTTATTCATAAATTATTAAATAGCCAATGGGACTTCATGCATCCTTATCTTGTGCCTTACTTAAAGTCTAACTATATGCTTCTACTGTATACTGCTCTTAATATATTCAGCAACCAACCTAACTTTTGTTTGCATAAAACATAACTTAAAATAATAATGCACTTTTTAAAAAGCTAGTAAGCTTTCCATAACACCTTCTCAAGTTTATATGTTTGTTAATGACCTGCTGATGAACAACAATCTGATCTGCACACCTCTGCCTCACATGGACCTCACACTTTATTTTCCAAATTTTGCTCAGTGTCATCCATTGTATTCTTTCAGTCAGGATTCTGTCAAACAAAATTTGACTATCTTCTTCACAATTGTTTTCTTCTTTCTACACAAGTTATACAATACCTTTTTCTTATCCTTATTTATTGTACCATTCTTCTTATCCACTATCATTTTTCACTTCATCATTCCACCAAGCATATTTTTGTACTTTCCATTAGCATAACTCCACACCACTGTGTGGCACATTGTAACATCATTCTCTTTACTCTTTCCCAAGCATCTTCCACACCTTTCTTTTGTCAATTGCCATACATTTTTTTTGTGAGATTCTTATCCATAAAGGATTCATATTTTTTATTCCTGCCAATATTCTACTTCAACTCTCATTTATTTCATATTTCCTTTCTTTCACGTCCTTTCCTAATCAAGAAAGCTCTTAATGCTATCAAATGGTTTGTTACACATTCTGAATCTCTCCTCTCTCTTGTATGTTTCACTAATGATATATTTCATTACTTTAAACAATTAGATCTGTTTACATTTATATTCATCCCTTTGTTGTGAGTGCATGCACGTATGTGTGTTGTTTATGTATGAATTAATAAACCTATATTTAAAGCATATATTAGCAAAATATTCACTGTGGTTGTTCATACTCAAGTCTTTGAATGGCATAGTTACTTTTCTGCACTCTCTCATTCTCATCTATCCATTCATGCCACCTTACTGAGTAACATTCATGTTAGATTGTTCATTCAGAATGTTTAATTCCCCCCCTCCCTGGAATCATCTATGATTTTTTTTCACAATCATCATTCACAGGGGCGCAGCATGTAAACCATGTAATGATCAATCTATGTACATACAATTATCTAGATAATATTAATTGAAACAATATGATATATATTTTTATCCTTTTTATCCACAGTTAACTCTATGTTATTACTCTGAATACATTCATTGGCTGAATTCTACAAGTTCTTTCAGATTCATTACAACTTTCCCATTAGTTTAATAGGCAACAATATACTAATTTTTATTTCATTTGTTCATTCATGCTCTTTACCATTTATTCCTCTTACATTCAAAGTTCCAATGTTTTATATGGCATAGCTATCACTAGATGAGGCGGAGTTTGCCCTCTGCTATTGGTAGATTTCAGCAAACTACCAACATGGTTTTGGTAGATTTCAGCTTTCATTTAACACTTTTCAGAAAGATCAGAAGATTTAGAATATATTATTGGCCTTAATCGTACAAATGCCATATGCAACATTCCCTACTAACAATAAGGTTAATATCAGTTTTGCACATTGTGGCTAGCACGTCTTAGGGATGTAGAATTTTGAACAGTGCCAGAGAGGGATGAAATGCTGAAAGTAGAGACAATGATAATTGGTTTATTAATAGTAGCCACTTATAAAACAGTTATTTGGTGGTGATAGAGATTTACTGTAGTTGAGTTATAAGATCTGTTTATTGTACATTCAGTTACATTACATTATAATCTGTTTTCAAACTTTTGAGATTATATAATAAATTACTTTAAGATTATATAATAAATTACAGGAGGGGATTAAAGACCTAGAAAGTAGATTACAAAAAAAACACAAGATGAAAAAATGAGGAGAGAGATGTTTCTTACTAGGCATAAATTGAATATTATAAATCAGGATGAGAGAGTTAAAGAGGTGAAAAGGGCAAAACAGAATTTTTTTCGAACATGCACACCAGGGAGGTGGTTAGCCCATAAATTAAGATAAGAAAGAGTAAGAAGGTTGATACAAGAATTGGAGGAGGAGGATGGAAAATTAGAATATCAAATGACTGAGAAATAGCAAAAATTCACTTAGAGGTCTCAATCTGTCTTCAGTTGAGCCGAATGCTTCGAAAAAATCAGTGCCAACCATTCTGAAACTGGGAAATTTTAAATCAGGGTACCATGTTAAGAATCCTTATTTTGAGTCACTAAGATACAACTATGAGGAAGGTTTCAGTAGAAGAGAACATATGTTGATTTTTGTTCCTTAATTCCATTCTTTTCCAATAGCTTTATTAAGGATTATGTTACATAAAACTAATATAAAAACCTAATTAAAAATATTTTAAGAAAATAAATATGTGCAAAAAGAAAAAAAAATCCTAAAACAGATAATAGTAAGGAAAAAAATTGCCTTTATCTCCAACAAGTACATCTTTTCCGAATGAAAACCTCAAACGTCTTATCATATGCTGTATTACCTAGGGTATCTTCAGCAAACATCTATTATTATTTTTTAAAGGAAAAAAATATTGTTGAGAGCTGTAGCACTATCCAGTACTGGAAATAATGCACAAATCTTCTTTGTCAGCTTTTCTAGCATGTCAGCTTTGAAACTAAACAGCCAGCTGATAAGATGGCTGTGTTCCATCACTATTTCCTCCTATTTTTCTGAAATCATCTAACTGTTACAGAAAGAATACCATGTGCCACAAACAGGTGGTCTTTCCTGTCTGCTTGTCATTGTGCTACTGAAGCAAGCGATGGAAGCCAAGACACAGTTGCAACAGATACTGTTTATGTCAAGGCCCTCTTACATCTCATAGGGCCCATCCTCTCATAATCTCTAATTATCTCTTCGTTTAATAGCCCCATCACTTCTGAGGCTCTCTTGGGTACAGGAAGAGGAAAAGCTCATTAACTGAACCCTTTCTCCTCTCTCCAGCCACCCATAGCTTTTAATTGCTTGGTGTTGTTATTATCTATCAGTGCAACTGGGATCATTTTCATAAGAAAAGGCGGTGTGGGGAGAGAAGCAAGCATGTCTCCCTGAGGTATGCATTTCAGACAAACCTTTGCTTTCTCCATTATTTATGCCAGCTGAGGTTTTATAGGCTGAATAAATCCATAACTCAAGTTTATTCTGAACAGTCTGCTTCCCTAGAGAGGAAGTGATGCCCACTTGCCTGTAGACTTCTGTGCTCTCCTCAGAGAATAACCAGAACCTAATGAGACATGTGTTACCCAATTGCCCACGCATGAAAAAAGCATACACTACACGCAAGATTAGTAATGCAGGAACCTGTGAAAAACCATGCACACCCCTTCACTCAAAGTAATATACTTTTGTTTTTCTTTCAGTGTAAGAGAATTTAGCTTAGCAATATTCTAGTTCACCTGGGTAAAAGTATCCTCCACACTTGTTAGAAAATGAGAATGCAAATAAAGGTCCTCGCTGTACGTTCCTTGAAGAAAATTATGCCACCGCCACCAGTAAACCATTACCTCATTTGATTTCAAGCTGTACCTCATTAACTGGAAAATTTAATTTTAATCGATGCTTGGATAATAAATTGCAATTATTGGAAAGCTGATTTTTTTCCCTTGTTTCCCTTACTGACTCTACAATTGATAACAAATGTAAAGTAGTATTTTAAACGTTAGCAAAATCTACTAAATGATACTGATCACATCATTTCTGCTCTCATTTGTTTTTTAAAGAACAAGCATTCTCTACCTCAGCCCAAGTCACCTCACAGAATTGTTTTGTGGGGAAACTGGAGGAAAAGGGATTATTAGGTAGGTTCACTGCCTTGAGTTATTCATTAAACTCAAACATAAATCATAAAACCATACAGGCAGGGTAAATAAGTAAATAAGTAATTTCCTTGCTCTTTTATATGAATACATTTCCACACTCACGGAGCTAGTGAGTTATTTCTTCTTGGTCCTTCCTTTAAAGCTTGAAGCAGGCATCTACAATAAGAATACTTTATTGTCAACATTTAAAAGTTTAAACAAAACATCCAAATGTTTACAATAAGGTGTTCTTTACCAATGCTTGAGAACCTTTAAATCTGGCAGTATCACGAATGAAGTTCAATAGCTCTTTAAAAGACAATAATCTTGATTCCTAAATTCTAATTTACTGTAGAAGTCTTTCTTTTTATCCTTACCTCTTTATTGGAAGAAATTTATACAGCATCTTAGATCACAGTTTAAGCTTCCCAATACTTTGATGTACGGAACTGTTTTTTATTTAAGCATCACTCTCTCTTAAATGCTGCTGTATATCCTTCTTCAAATGCAATGTCAATGTATGGGTAAATTGCAAATAAAGAAGAGGGGATGTAGAAGCCTAGCCCAACATTCATAGTTTGGGCTTTTTACTTGGGCATTGACTATTATTGAAAGCATTTGATTACCTACAGTACAACACAAGAATGAACAAAAATAAATAAAACAACTTAAGAATCAGGATTCTAGTAAAAGAAATTATTACCTGCAAAATAAATATTAATCTTGATAAGACAAATATTTATTTACTAAATTTATATGCTGCCCATTTCATTCTTCTATATGAATAGTCAGTCTCCAAAGTGACTTTTCTATATCTTTTGGAATGAAAAAAAATTTACTTCTCAAAAAGAGGATGGAATAGCTCCTGGAAAGAATATTGTACAGTAGCTTCTGGACAAAATACTGAGAAAGTCCTCTTTCTACCAGATTGGGAAAACACAAATGATGGATCTCTTATCAAAGACCCTGGGGTCTGAGAAACTTCATTTTAGTGAAGACAAACCTAAGTTATTTATAACCTAAAAGTGGTAAAGAAGGTTTTGAGGTATATCTCCAAACAGGTAACATAAAATGTTGAAATTAAGAAATTATATTCCTTATTTCCAATGTATGCAAGAAAGGAATCTGGCTGAAACTTGGGAATCTGTTATAATTTTGTAATGTCTTTCTTATGTTGTTGTTTGTGTTATATATAAAAAACAATTGAGATACCTCTCTCTCTCTGATCTTTCAAGGAACGGACTCATTTTTTATGTGAGTACAAACTTAATGCTAGGAGAAACTCAATGATATCCATTGTATGGTTCCATGTTTATTTCTGCAATTTAATAATTAACATTCCTAACAGGAATTTGAGACTGAATAATTTCTGAATTACTTATTTAGGGAAAATGTATAAACTATGTAAGGAAAGCTGTTCTTAATTTTTTTAGGACTACAGTACATATGTGTCTATGTATGTCTGGTACTTTCTGTCAAAGTTGTTCATTTATCTCTCAGATCAAATAATCAATTCTAGAGCTATCAATCTTTCCATTTCAGTACTAGGCTGGTCTAACCCTAAGAGTTTGCCAGATGGCTGCTTGGATTAATGGGATTAATAACATTCTGATAAATTACATGGCATCAGAGTGAAAAATATGATAGGGACTATCAAGCATGTTTCTTATAAAATAAAACTGGAGATTGAGAGGCAGGAATCAGTAATAAAATGTTTGTTGACTTTAAATTTCATCCTTTTTATCTGGATTCAAGGAACCATGTTTATTTGAAATGACTCGATGTAGACAGCAACTGTTTGCCCAACTATTTTGAATTATTTTCATATTTTTCTATTTACTTCTTGAGGATGTGAATAGAATATATGGAGGCATGAGAGGTTTGACCTGCTTGCTCAGTTGTTGTTGTTTTAGTTAAGTCAATCATGGATAAAGATGGAGATCAATGTTTTCTTGTAGGAAGAATGTGCTTCCCTCAGTCTAAAATTATACGACTTCTACTAAAAAAGAAAACAAAATCCATTAGTCCAGCAGATCTGTTTTCATAGGGCAATCTGAAACATATTTCTAAGAAAAGATAATCAAAAGATAAGAAGGGTAAATGTGACTATTCCAGGTATAATTTAATAAGATTAAGAAGCCATTATACTGTATAACATTTGCTGCTTGCATAGGAATTGTTTACAAGACCACACCACTTGTACCTATTTTTCTAAAACTGGACGTCCTTAATTTCTATAGAAAGGACAATTCCATATTTTATTTGAAAAGAAACCACATATTTAAAAGTTATAGACATTTCCATTTCTTCAATACTCAAACTTTAAAGGAATTCTACAATAAGAGCTTGTAGTATTCTTTAGAAGTTATCTGAGAAATAATACTCCCCTTGCAAATTTCATTTGTGCTAAAAAGTAAATAAATACTATTTACATAATTCTTATCCTAGATAATGGAAGAGATTAAGTACAGTATTATGCTTCTTAATTTTGCTTCAGGTGTGAAGAACAAGATCATATGGAAAGTAACTTCTTATGAAGTTTTTCCTATTTAGAAATCATCTTCCAAAGACATGCATCATAGCTAGCTGACTAGGGCCTTCCAGCCCATACCAACTTTGTGCATGCTGGTGGACTACCCAAACCCCACCTTTTCAGGCACTGCTACATGATTGTTTAAAAATTGCAACAGGACAAACTGGAATTGTAGCCATTGAGCAAGGTAGCCAACATGGGTGACTTGCTTGATGACTACAATGACCTACAACAAATTTCCGACTCAGTTGTAGTCATAAGTCGAGAACCATCTGTATTTTACTACAACTAATAAATGACTGGAATGCAAAAGCAGAAGAAATGGAGAAATCTAGAATAAGAGAAACCCAACAGTACAAATCATAGACAAACAGTATTTCACGAAGAGAATCCATTGTTTATTGCTGAAATTTATTTTAAGCAACATTAATACAGACTTGACACATGGTTATCATTGATATGCAACTTTGGAATTAAATCAGCTATATAGTAGGCAACCAAAGATAGAGAAGTGCAATCTGAAACAGATTGCTTCCAAGTACAAAGAAACCATGAACTATTTTTGTCAAATATATGGGTTCTATTTCCAAAATTGAAAAAATAAACATAGACATAAGCTACAGATGAAGAAGAAATTAATGTCATAAACTAGTCTTCTGAGGAAGAGGAAGCAGTTTGTATCTATACAAACAAATGCAGGAAAAGATTCTGTGTCCTAAGAATTTAGAAAGATCATTCTCTAAACCTATACTAAAAAGGATGTGACAATTACCTATTAAAATTAAAAAGTAAATACAAAAAACAAAATTGAGTTCATGAACAGCATGAAGACAAATATATGAACCAAAAAACCAACCCTCCCCAATCATTCCCCCAGACCCTAATCAATCATCATTTTGCCCTAAAGCCTCAAAGAACATTCAGGCTGTTGATAGCTTCTGAATGACATCAGTGTAGAAGCTACTCAGATTTTTTGGGGGGGGGGGGGGATATTATTATAGAGAGCAGACACTGCAAAAGAGAGAAAGCATGTTTCTTGAATTCTGCCAGATGAAGTACAGTCACTTTGCCCAATCTCACTGGATCAGCAAAAAGAGTCAGAGACAGACAATCCCTCAAATAACCAGGCCCTATGCCACGAAGGTCATTGTAAGTGACCTTCAGTGACCTTTGAATTGCATCCAGAAGCCAAGTGGCAACTCCTTTAAATATACTTTTCAAACTATAGATCCTGAGTCAGTCATTATAAGAACTGATCAATCAATCCTGAACCAAATAAAAATTGCTAATCATCATCTCCAACGAAAAGTCAAACAGAAAGTCAGAACATCATGATGTAAATAGATATCAAATTGGAAAAAAATGACTATGCTTACTAAGGTTGAAGGAAATAAAAGAGGACAATGGAAAAGTGGATGGGAATAAAGAAGTGACAGAAAAAAATCCATGTTATTATTACAGATAATATAATATAAACATTTATGTACTCTATGGAATTACAAGGAGTCAAGCCGAACACAACAGCACAATTGCAAACATTTCAATAAGAACAATTAGTAACAGTGGAAAAAACCAGACTAAGAAGTTAGTGAAGGTTTGAAAATGTACATGTACAGGAAATAGAAAGAGGAAAGATTACAATGGAAGACTCATACAACCAGAATTGTAAAGCAGATATCAGGAAAGCTAAACTTCAATTAAGTGAAGGATAGTAATATATATATATAGAGACAAGAGAAAGAGAATCAATATTCACTGAAGATAATAAAATGTTAACAGGTCAACAACAACAAAAGTAGAGAAGATAGAATTTTTCATCATTCACTTTTAAACAGAAGAACCAAGGAACAGGTCAGAAGGTCTCTTGTATGTGTACCATGACGCTGCATGCAGTCCATGAATAAATAAGATGGATCTTGTGGCATAAGCTCAAACTTTCAATCTGATTAACAGACCAAATATGTTACTTATTTCATTCTGACAAAGCAGCAAGCTCCTTCAAATGCCCATTAGTACAGAAAGAAAATGACTGCCAAAATCCTTACTTATATTATCCAGGACTAGATGGAAATCTTGTTTTCTGAAACAGTACCAGCTGAAGCTTCCAGACCAGTTCCAAAGGTAATACAACATGGGCAAAACAGATAATGCATATACATCTGCATTTGCAAGAATAAGCTCCAGAGAACATCTTTCCAGGTAGCAACAGAATGTTTATAAGTGTTCTTCAGGTGTGGTGCTTTCAGCATTTATCTAAATAGGTCTTTGGGGATAGTCGATTTTTGTTTCAAATCCTGGTCTGAACTTGAACTGAACTGCTTGGAATCCAGGGAAGAATTTTACTCACACAAATCAACAGAATATCATCCAATCAAATACCTTACCCACAACAGAGGCATGTGGGTATTATCAATTTGGTTCTCTATTCTCAATCTAGAAATTCTGGAGATGCCCATTTACCAACAATATTATTACCCTTATCTAAAGGCTGAATTTACAAATGAATTTACCAATGGAAGGAAAAGGGAATGGCTTTAAAGGATAGAGGAAGAGCAGCTAACAAGGGAATTGTCAAATTGGAGGGGGCCTGAGCCAAGAAAAGACCTTGAGAAAATGTGTCCAGGGCAAAGGGAGGAAAGGGAAAGCATAATCAGATTGCCAGACTTTGTTACTATATCTGTTAAATAAAAATTTATAATTTATAATTAAATTTATAATTTAAAAAGTTATAATTTATAATAAAAATAGTACTGACCTACATGACATTGTTTTCTTGATCTGGTCTATCTTGTATGGCTGGCATCAGCTCAAAGTTTCAGTATGTTTAACGGAACAAAGACGTTACTTATTTCATTACTCTATATTTCCCATTTCTTAGCTTCTTTTATTTAATCATAACTTTCATATTTAATCTTCACACATTTTTCTTTTAATTTCACAAACTGACCTCAATTAGTAACCTTATATTTATACTGCTTCCTTAATTTGTCTTGACCAGCTGTATCATTTAGCATAATCTTTATTTTTGTTAAGAGGTTAATAAAGAGTTACCATACAATTTTATCAGTGCTTACATCAGAACTCTGAACTGATTTTCCAGGGAGGTTTCCAGTTAGATATATAAGACTATAGCTTCAGCTAGAACATTCAATTAAAAAGCACTGAATACAGCTTATAAATAAAAGTGAAGGGCAAGGAGATTAAAAATCATTACAGTTCTTATTTAATATTTCCTCCCAAATATTAATCTTTCTACAAAATTTAAACAATTTAACCTGAAAAACATACACATAACATACACATAGATACACCCAAACATTTCACATTAGGGATAAATTAGTACCAGCAATATAGACAATTACTGATTTAAACTGTTATATGCCTAGAAAGTACTTTTGTGTTATTTCTAATCTGAGAGGAAAAGTATCTTGTTTCAAATATTCTGAAAAATGCCAGAAATTATAAAAATATCAGACAAATTTACCTGATGGTTTCTTCTTGATACAATGAGCTGACAACTGGACCTCCATATACAGATTTTCCTTCCTTTCCTTTCTTTTCTGATATCTGAAAGAACATAATAATACTTGTTTACACATTTTGATTCTGAAACTATGCAGATCATTGTCAAGAATAATTCCATGGAATCATTTCCCCCTCTCATTTTCAGACACTAGTTATAACATTTAAGATCACAAAAACTATACCTTGCCTTATCAACAATGAAAAGCAAACTTATAACAGTTATGCCAAGATCCACCAGCTAGGTACTAAATATATCAAATAAGTATACATAATAATAACATACTTTTGAGTTCATATGAGTCCAGGAATGTGTTGTCATTATTAGAACCGAACTGATATCACAGTCAACTCCACTGATGATTCTTCAAGCTTCCTTACTTTCAGCTTCAATTTAGACAGAAATCTTATGATGTTAAGTGTTCCGTATTGGAAAACAAATACAATATTAAACAAGTGCAGAAAATTATTTCTGAAATTGGTTGAACAAGCATGAAGGAGCCAGCAATGAAGTGTCTCAGGCAGCAGCTCCATATTAAGCAAGTTAAGACTCATGTGCAAATCTTACAATACAGCCAGGAAACCAGGTTACTCAGTCTCTGAAGCAGATCTTAAAAGACTAGTATGCATGCAACTACTTTGTATTCTAGTAATAGGAGATTTAATAGAAATATGGAGAAATGACTTCATGATGGGTACGGAGTCATTTGTTTGACTAGCATGGAAGTTTTGGACATAATATGTCAACTAGGTAGATTCCTAAATGCTGGGGAGGAGACATCAACAACATCAACATTAGAAAATGTTCTCTATGGCATCAACATATGGGGCACAGTATCTTTCTGGATTGCCTGCAGGGAGTTGAAGGCAACATTTTTATGGTTCTGCTTCTACCTTAATTTCTTGATTTAATTGGGGGTGCTGGAAGAGCAGGAATTGAGCCCTTGGGACCTCCTTTGTGGGGTTTTCCATCATTTGAGCCTCTCTCCTGTATTATTTAATATATACATATAGCTGTTGAGAGAGATCATCTGCTGGCTCAGGGTGAGTGTCACCAATATGCCAATGACAGTCAATTATACGTAGCTATCCCAGGCTGAGATGGAGATGTCATACAAGTTGTGAATCAGTGCCTGCAAGTGGTTAGGAAGAGTGAGACATAACAAGCTCGGACTAAATCTACCAAGACTGAGCTGCTTGATGCCATTCGAGTAACCTTTTAATATCAGTCCCTGTCTTGTTTCAGGTTGAGCACATACACGCCAAACTTACTTACAAATAAGTTCACTAGTGAGTGGCAAGCAATTATTTACATGGCAGGGAGAGAACTGTTGAGTTCTCGTATTCTCTCTCTCACACTCAACTGATGTGGGAGAGCAAGTTTTTTTTTTCTGTGGCAGCTCACTCCAAAGTCGAAATAGAGCAAGGATACTGTAAGCACAGTAGCCCAGGGAGCCAGCTGTCAAGGAAGTTAATCAGTTACCCAGGGTCAAACAACTAATATTGCAAACAGGAAGGAGCAGAGAAGTGAGTTTGGTTTGGTTGTTCCCAACAAAGAGCCTGACTGTTGGCAGTCAGCCCAATATAGACAGGCTCCAAGGATTAAAAAATACATCATCTTTGTTTCTTGAAGAGCAGAGTGCCTGTGCTTGGTATTTTCGGGTTCCCAATATGTTCTCCACCTAGGTTGTCTTTGGATGATTTGTTTATCATCTGATTCTCCTACATAACTATCTGCCTGGATCAGTCAACTTCAGGTGGTTGACAGCTTACCGAATCTTTTTTTAAAAAAATAATACAACAAAGCTTTTTTTTTTTAAGGAAGATAAAATTAATACACATTAATGTAAAATAATTCTCATTTATTTTCTAATTGACATCTTGCTGAATGCTGAGACTGTTAAGCAGCCCTCAGCTGCTTATTCCTCTAAGTCAGAGTTGATCACAGTTCTGGTACTCACTATTCAAGGAGTAAAGGTCCCCTGAAGAAGCTAATGCAAGATCTGAGGATTCTTCATACTTGTCTTTCCTCAGATTTGGTTACTGCAGCAGTTGGGATTCCCTGGTGATGGTGATTTGTTATAAGAGCAAGGGAGATGGCTCTGACGAAACTATGCAAGAACTACTACCTAGGCAAGGGGGGGGGGTGTGAAACATTTTTAAAAACCAGTGGAACAAGATAATATTCAGAAGCAGATTGGGCAAACACTTCTCTGACTCACTGAAGCTAAGAAGAGGAAGTATACCTCAATCAAGAGTCAAGAGCTTAATTAAATAAAGTATAGCTCAAATATTTCTGTGGAGTTGATTTTCTGGTCTACCTAGTAGGGCTACCTTTGGAGACAACTCAGAAGCTACTGGTAGTTCAAAATCTGGTGGCAAGGCTCCTGTTGTGTCAATCCCATTAGCATAGAACACCATCTATTTTGAAGTTGTTGCATTAGCTGCTAGACAGAATTCCAAGTGCTCGTTTTTAAGCCCTTCATTGCATTGTACCAAATGATATTGGGCAATGTCTTCATAAGATAGAATCTGCTTTGCTGGTATAAACATCCAGAGAGAGTCTATTGACATGATCTGTATGATGGGCCTTCTCAGTGGAAACCTCTACTAGTCCAGAAGTGAGGATGACCCCTTCCTTCTTATATTTAGGAGGCAATTTAAATCTATTCTGGTTATATTAGGATTAAAATTGATCAATTACTGTTAGATCTAAGCTCAAGATGACACGGCAAAATCCAATTGAGTTCAACCATTTATTTGTTACACCTAATGGATAGAATCTTGCCAAACTAAAGCTATATGCTTCTAATCTATTAGACATATACTGAGGGATTCTAGGATGTAGCTACCCTCTTCAACTGCACGCAGTCTCGTAATTTGGACTTCTTTCTGATAGAATATACTTCCTCCTCCCTGGGTTCTGTGCTGCCAAGACTTCCTTCCACTACTTCTCCAGGTTTACATTCTTTTGGGAAAAGGGGTGGCAGAATCTGAGGGTGGAGCTGAAAGACAGATCAGCCTAGAATCCCTACATAGCCACAAATGAATTGGATTAGTGTCAGGTGCAAAAGATCAGGTCCACATATGAAGGTCCAGTTAAACTGATTTACTGCTACTCATGCCTATACACAACTAACAGTTAGCAGCTGCTTGGATTTAGACAAGGGTAAACAGAATTCAAGGGAGGCTGGACTTAGTTCAACTTCTGGCTACGTAGGGGTTTTAGGCTGATCCCTCTTTTAACTCTGCCCCCAGATTCTGCCATCCATTCTCCTACAATTCCATCACAATCACCCAAATAAGAGACTGCCATGTTTTAAGTTATAAACATCAGTAGCGGAAGTATACAAAGGAGGAAATGCTGTTATAATATACTTTAATTATTCACAAACAGACTGGATGTATTCATATTCCCTCATAATAAAGAAAACAAATTCTAGAAGTACATCTTGAAAGAGTTGGTCATGATGCTTGGATCTGAGTGTAGTAGACATGATGGGGAACAATGACCTCATGCAATTAGATTCCACACTGAAATATTAGACTTTATTATATTGACTGTTTCCTAATATGACTTGATTGCTGATTGTACCCTATGACTATCATTAAGTGTTGTACCTCATGATTCTTGATTCTTAACGAATGTATCTTTTCTTTTATGTACACTGAGAGCATTTACACCAAGACAAATTTCTTGTGTGTCCAATCACACTTGGCCAATAAAGTATTCTATTCTATTCTAGACTTGGGAAGGGAAAATATTTCCTAAATGAAGAGACTGATAAAAAAAGAAATTATTGAAAACAGCAAAATTGGGAGCCTAGGCAAAATGTATATTTCAATGCAGAAAAGGAAAAAAAATCACGAGGGTGCCCATTTGGCTGACAAATTCAGTCAAGGAGGTTATTCTTGCCAAACCAAGAAGATCAAAAGGAAATATAAGCACTGGCAAAAAAAGAGTCTGAGGAGTACCTGGCTGGAAACAAAAAACAAAAATTAAAATTTATCCAGCTACAATAGAAGCAGGAAACCGGACAGATGCTTTTGGACTGTTCGATGACAAGGGGAGGAAAAGGGCCACTTCAAGAGGATGTGGAGATATCACAGAACATGAATGAATTCTTTGCATCTCACCACAGAGGACAAAAATTGGCAATTCAGCCAGTCTCTTGTGGCGTTCAGCAGTTACTGCCCAGTGTAGCAGAGGTGGGATTCAAATTTTTTTTACTACCAGTTCTGTGGGTGTAACTTGGTGGGCGTGGCAGGGGAAGGATATGGTAAAATCTCCAGTCAGAGGTGGTATTTGCCGGTTCTCCAGACTATTCAAAATTTCTGCTACTGGTTCTCCAGAACTGGTCAGAACCTGCTGAATACCAGGTTCTGACCAGAACAGTCCCCCTTGTTGGTAGGAAGAAGAGACTGCTGGAAGGTCACAGCAGTTTGTGTTGCCTGCTACCTCAATCTTTCATTCCACTTCACCATTGATGCAAGTGTTTCAGGGGCACAAAATCTGGATGGGAGTGGTTCATGTGCTCCCTCTGCTGGTGTTTGGCACTTTCTGCCAGGGCTGCTGAAACTGGATCCTATCTTCTTCTTTTTCTTTTCCCCCCACAGATGCCAACATTTTATTTTAAGCTCCTTGGCTTACATGTAATGGAGTAGAAGGGGGAGAAGGCCATCCCAGGATGAAAATCCCTCCCTTCTGTTTATCCCATCTTCCAAATAAAAACAGAATTGCACAATCTGGATACCACCGCCACCCCTTGGGCCTCGAGATTCTTCTGGACAGTGGTGACCTTGTCATTGGCCAGGGAAGCCGGGTGCTCCTTGTTGCATTTCATCATCTTCTACAGTTCGTTTTTGGTTTCATTGTGGATCATCTGCTGTTTGGTGTGCTTTACCCAATACAGCCACCTTTTCCTCCAATCTGGGCCCACCATGTCTTCAATGATGGATTCTGTGTCCTTCAGGTGACTCTGCCTATCTTCTTGTTGGGACTAGTCAGAGCTTTTGAAAAGGCCACTGCTGCTGTTATCACCTAA